CCTAGTGGTGTAGTTAGACCTAGTTCCAAGCATTTTTGAGCATATTGTTTTTCTATTGTGTCTCGAAAACACTCCAAACTCCAAACTAACAATAAACGAAACTAAGTATTCCGAAACACATCGTACGTCTATCTATAACCAGCAGATCATTATAAAAGATAAAATGGATAATCTAAGTAAACGAGTCATAAAATGACAATTACTAGTGCCGCTCTATCGGTAACGGACAGCGCAGGCAGTGGCGGGCTGTGGTCGCGTGCCCGCTACCAATTACACTACCGCTTAAAGAAAGTTGAAAAAAATAAACACTCTTATATTGCAAAAACACAATTTTCTTCTATGCTTACTGCTTACTGAAAAATTTCTTAGAGGATTTTCAACATTTAAGAAATTTGTCTGTTGGCTGCTTTCCCCAGAAAGATTCCAGGGAATTTTTACTCTTAAGCACTTCTTGGTAGCAATTTGTTCAATATAAACAAGCGTGTAACGACTTCTTAATGTTATCACTTTCAAAAAAAATATGAGTAACTACCATCATTCAAATAAGTTGTAAAGTTTAATACATGATGTAGGTATTAAACTACAACTTATTTGATATTACATAGGGATATTGAGAAAAATAAGCTTGTTATGGAAGTATTAATACTTTATTTGTTTTACATAAATATTTTTGTTGATATTACGGGCAAGAGCCACTTACTTCTTCTACTACTTTTATGTTATTTTACGTGATTTTACTGGATGTTTAGAATCAATTAGATGTCCGATGTAGATACAAATTCATTACTGTCGACTGTTGTGAGGCAGAGTTATGAATTCTGCACAGTCATCGTAGAAAACGTTCGTCAAGACCTCCCTGCATAATAATAAGTATTTGTGTCTTAATTATGTTATCATTCAATGACGAGATACCGAATGGGTCGCATTCATAAATATTTAAATAAGGTACACGTTTATCAGAGCCGTCAAGTTGTTCGCGGAAAGCGGCAGGCGTGGTCGCCGGGCTCCGCAGCTCGGCGCGAGACACTATTATACTGAGGCCATTGTTCGGCTGCGCCTGGTGCCGGCATCGGCACTGCATATACTGCTAACGACGATTCTCACATATCATCTTTGATACATTCAAATAAATTCACAAGCACAGCCGCCGAACACTTAACCAGAACACAAGCATGGCTGTTTCACATCCGTTTGCAAAAATGATCACATCAACTTGTGGCATGCCGAGGAAAATGAAGCGCAAGCATCAGAGTAATTGAAAGCAAGTATTACTCAAAAGATACTGCTTACAACGTATGTTGTCAAAATAAAAGGACGTAATTTATGGAAGTCGAACTTCGTATAATAAATGAATCGACGCAATAAAAAATTATTCACGTCGTCAGCTTTCCCTTAATACTCATGTCATACATATTTAACAATATGAATTTTGTTAAAAACATTGCCGTCTGAAATACATCGTTTATCATTTTATATAAATTTATGTTCGACCTTTTCAAATCATGACAATAAATGGTTTGACACACTAAACTTGTTCTTAGAGTTATGCGTCTGCTGACTCTACCGCGGCAAGTGATCTGGAGCATCAACGTCACTAACAATCAAAGATGTTTTGATTGTCCGAGTTAAATGTAGCCAGTCAAATAATTGAAAATGGTAACGGTGTGATTTATGCAAATCGATAGCTTGACGTTCAATTTAAACTGTGAGGCACGTTGCGCCCGCGGCGATGTCGGCCATTAGGCGCTTCGCAGGACACGCGCTGCCTCCCGCCTTATCTTGTGCATCAAACGTGTCCACAGCAAACGCCACGCATCGCTATCTGTGCTGCATCACTTATACTATACATCATGTTATTGCCGTTCTCAAATTGATAATAATTGTGCGTAAACATTTTTAGATAAAAATATTCCTTTCGTTATGCCATGGATGAAAAGTCAATTCATGAACATGAACTTACGTTTCTTAATTAATTAGGTGATAAAATAAGCTTTAAACACAAGTGACTAAGTAGGTATAGCAGGTCGTAGATATAGGATCTGAGTCATCTAAGTACTTGAGTGAAAGCGGCGCACAAAATTCGATCAAGATACTAAAATCGATAACACCTGACAATCAATAATAAATCACAAGAATCGAAACCACATAAACATATCACACATCGGTGCATGGCCCCGATAGATTCTTATACTAACAAAGCTTTGGTGTACGAAGAAAACACTTGAGATTGGTAAAAGAAGGAATATTCAGTTACTACAATAGCTTGTTGGAGAACCGCACGTGGACAAAGGTTAAGTGCCATTGAAACCTTTACTCAGTTCATTATATTTTGTTTACGGACAGCGTCACGGCACCCACGCCACGACAAGTTTCGTGCACACATTCAAATAGTGCATACATTCAAATCCCTCCGCATATAATCGATTCCAATTGAAACTTTGATGCTGTTCTAGTTTGTTTGTACCTAGGCTCGATATTGTCTACGTGTATGATGTCTTCATTCTTACGCATCGGCTCACGAACCGATTTGCAATGTGCCGTTAATGCAAATCCTTTATATTAATCTAATATGATTTTAAGCAACGTAACAATTTCAACACTTACCAAGAAGATTGCTCATTGAATTATTCACAATAGTTGTTAATAGAGCACCTTGCAAGATGTGTGAAACTTTCCAAGCTATTGACAGTGGGCAACCTTGCTTGTTTAATTGAGTGCTACTTCCATATAGACGTTTATTGGGTAGATATGCCAATACCTTGACACGTGGGGTCATTCACTGAGTTTTTGCTTGATGCGTAGGTGCGAAACTAAAGATGATTGACGCAAAATCTAAGCACAATTCACCTTTGAACTTTTAAGAGCATTTATTCAGAAATACATATTCTTATTGTAGACATAGTGTTTGTGTTGGTCTAGATTTTTTAAATAAATAATAATACTTATTGTGCAATATAAGGAGTTAAGTAGGCAAGGCCCCTACCAATACTAGATACTGCTATATTTTCTAATGTTGTAATAAACTGAAAGCTTCGTATCGTGACAGACGAAAAAACTGCAGGAATTGCGTACAAAGGATATGTAGAATCAATACTCAGATATGGGCTAATAATATGTGGAAATTCGACTGAGGTTCCCTTAGCGTTCATTGCACAACAAAAATGTTTACAAGATGTCGGTGGGGTAAGTCCACTTGATTCCTGTAAACCTATATTTAAGAAACTAAAATTACTAACGTTAACTGGCACATATGTTCTGGAAGTATCAATATTTGTAAGAAAATATACCTAATGACTTTTTTTAATTTAAAGAGGATCATATTACTAAATACAGACCAAGAGATCCTTCAAAAATAATGGTTCCTTTTTGTAGAACTAATCTGAATAAAAATAATGTTTATCATACGTGCATATCAGTCTTTAATAAATTACCTAGGAATCTAAGAGAACTACCATTCGAATAATTTAAAATAAAGCTTAAGCAATGGCTGAACATACTTTTATACAATAGAAGAATTTATGCAATACAATATTAATGAATGTAATTATTTGTTTGATAAATAATATCTAATGATAATACCTACATGTTAACTTTGCTGAAATAGAATATATTTTGAGATTGTATTAGTTTATAAAAATATTTGCATGCCTAACGTAGGCAGAATACAGCGTGAACTGTACTCCACTATAATATCTGGTAACACCTGTGTTCTATGTGAATGAATGTTTCTTTCTTTCTTTCAACTTGTCGGTGTGACGAGAGGGCAATGTCATTCTATTTTCTGTTTTTGTATTGATTGCGATCATTGTATTAATTTTTTTTTCTTAGTAAACATTAGATCTCAACAAATAGTAAATTAGTACTTCAATCAACTTATATGTACGTACTTCAATGCAAGCAAATCAATACAAAAAGTATTTGTACGCGTAAAGTACCTACATAAACTTACATTATCGACACTAAACTTTAGACACAAAATAATATTTCAAATGCGGTCGAGGTTGGTGTATCTTACATTATTAAATAATAAAGTCAACACGGTTGCCGAAGAACACAATAAATAAGTCTTTAGGCAACAGTGGATTTGATATCGGTTGCAATACATGGTTTTCAATAAACATCGTTTGCTTTTTAACACGGACGGGTGACAAGTTCGAGGTTACATGTCAATCTCGTCAAACTCATCACAATAATGTTCTTGTGAAATTCTAATAATTGCGATATGACATTTGTTGCTACTTCTTTATAACACTTTTCGTATCGAAAGTAACATTGACCTTTTGGATTAATTTGGAAATTCTACCCACACAATCATTGATATCGGAAAAAGCTCTTGTTAATAGCACCGATGATAAATAATAATTATTACCAGACCACATATATTATGTAAAAGCAAAATCTTTATTTTTTTTTATTTTCACTAAATTACATCCCACGTGACAAGGGGGTGGGAGAAGATTCGTACGGTCACATTTACAATCAACGTGGTATACCAATGCCAATTACCCTATAGACTCAAGTTAATTTATTTAATAGTCCTTGACGTTAAATTTATTAAAAAACGAACTTTGGAAACGCTGTCTCACAATAAATTATGATTACTTGATTAAGACAGGGGAGGAGATCAAACATTATAAAATTTGTGTGACGTTACTTGTGGACGGCCCATAACACTGTAAGTAGAAAAGATGATATGAAGATAGGAATACAAGCAAATATTACAAACAAAAAAATATTCAATATGTATGTTGATTAATGATCTAGTCCCTAAAAACCTCGACAGTGTTAAAGTAAGAAAGTAAGAGGCTAGCGTTAGGCAGATGGACTGACGACCTGAAATGCCTTAATAGTGATAAGAGAGTTTCCGTCATTATAGCAATTAGAAATGTGAGGATTGAGTGTTAATGGATTTCAGAAGGATATAAGGATAGAAAGTGGAACTATCAAAGTAGCCAGAGGTCTCTACCCAACTAGGAATTCCCTCTTTATGCGAAGCAGTCATGCTAGCTGTAGCGAAGGCGGAACGCTTTATCAACTTCATGCTCTGGCCGCTGCAGGAGATGCTACGGGCATCCGGAATCGAGAGGCTATCTCCTGCTACCGTGTAAGTGCACGTATGTAGACGGCGAGCAAAGGAATTTAGCTGGCCGACCAGGACCAGGACCAAGGCAACGCGTTGCGTGCGTTCTAAGCACGCCTCAAAAAGCCATCAGACCAACACAGATAACACCATTTAGGGCCGATGACTAGTCGGGGTTACGGTGCAAGCCCACTGATGTATCGCCAGCCGGTTCGAAGCAGGAGCAAAGGGTTGGTATTTCTTCTTATAGGTTCACTACATTCAAACAATACAACAAACGTATAAAGCAAGTGAGGGAAGGGTGGGAGAGCCATAATTCGGCTCGACCAGAGTGACACCACGGCCTCACAGAAAACCGGCGTGAAAAAACCAAAGAGTTGTGTTTCGCCGTGTGAGTTTGGTTACCGGAGGCCCAATCCTTCCCCTACCCCAATCCGTTCCCTTTCCCAAAATTGGAGATTTTCCCTATCCCCAATCCCTAATCCCCAAAAGGTCGACAACGCACTCGTAACTTTTCCGTCGTTGCGGGTGACCATGGGCGACGCTGATTGCTTACCATCAAGTAATCCGTTTGGTCGTTTGCCGACCTATCACTTAAAAGAAAAAAAGTTTATATAATGGCTGTGTAATTTAATTTTATGGTCCAAAAGTAAAGCATGGGTCCGTTTGCCTTTTACCAGGTAGGTACCAAGCACAGATATCCTCCTGATGCTAGGTACTACCATTTCAAATTGAAGATCCCTACTTAAAACTAATATTATTATAAACGTAAAAAATATTGAATTCAAGTGGGATTCTTCAAAATATAAAGGTTAAGTAAGTAAATAAGTACTCATTCCTCATGAAAATAATAATAAAACATTATGACACGGTATAAGGCAAACTGTCAAATTAATTAATTGGGCCAAACAAAGATCGTGCGCGCTGCGACATGTTCAGAAACAGGAGTCTAGCAGCAGGTATGAGTTATTGAAGCTGACTGTGTGCTGGGTGGTTGAGGCGTCACGTCATGGCACGTCACGCGTCCCTCGCGCATGCGCTGTGGAGCACTTGCGCCCGCGCCACGGGACAGCGCCGCCACCCGCTCCACTGCATCGTGTCGCCGCTATCGCTTTCACGTCGTGGTTATCGCCCCAGTGATAATCTGCATAGTGCGAACCGTTATTGAAAGCCACGGTACTAGTTTGTGCGTGAAGGCTACAATAGCGGCACTTTAATCTGATATTTATTGACCGAGAGATCGAATGAAGCTGACTACACTGAGAGGTGACCTAAATAATCAGACTACTAATGTGTAGTTATATATTTTCCACATTTTATTCCTATCCTCTTTTATTCTCACTTATCGTTTCATCTTAGGTTTTATTTAAGGAAATTTGAGCTCTAAAAAAGATTTAAAGACCTTAACCACATAAATATTTCCAGTATTGGTGTTATTAAAATAAATTGCCAATTTTCAGTTACAAACCTCTTGAAATTAAAAAGAGTTAACATTGTCGTGGGCGTGGGCTGGTGGCAGGCGGCAGGACGCGCGCGCGCCTCCTATCAATGATCAATTTTGGTTCCGGCGAGATTATCTTTTGATCGGAGCAATTTCTCTTCGGTCTTATATCTGATAATATCTGGAGAACAACGGTTTGCATCGTTCTGCATAATTATAAACCTGGAATTTACTCCGTGATTTTGCTGAGTAAGAACCTACATAGGTACCTATCACACATGGGATCCATTTATATTTTTCAAATTATTTACATCACATTGGACATTTCTTAAAGGAGATACCTAGGTACCGACTGCAATGCTGATGTGGTAAGAAGACAAACATACCCAAGCTCAATTCCGCAAGTACCTAATAAAAATAGGAACGTGGACGTCGAGTAGGCGATCAAAGTAGGTAGAGAGCGAGGCAATCAGAAACAATTTTCTATTACTATTTCTCGTTGGACATATTCCGACAACAAACACGATCGTCCCGAGAGCCGTGGGAATGCCCCAGTCGAGTAACGGACGGACGGACAAATGATGTTGGGCGATCTATTGCCTGTAATTGATGACGACTATTGTGTGCTTTTGAAAGAGCCACGAATGTTTGTCTTCGTTCTGTTACCTTCCGTTTGTTTGTTGCCATTGTTAATCTGAGACTTGTTGCCTTAATTCGCGCTGCTATTATATAAATAACTGCTTGTACACTCAAGATTAATTATTTTCTTGTAGTTACACTTGGTACTCTCAGGTGCCGTTAATCCACTTGACATAGTTGATGGTAAACAATTTCTAAGTAGTAGGTAGATAGTTTTCGCCCTGTAACTAGCGAACACATAGGGCAAATTATTTTTACTCTGTAGATTTAGATTACTCACAAATGATGAAACAACTGTTATGATTGAAAATTATGCTTTCGAGTGATGTAACAACTAGGTACAACGGCAATTGACTATAACTAGGCTAGTTGATGGAATCGGCGTTACTTAAGCACGAAGATGATTTTAGAAGATGTACCTACCTATACTTATTATTATGTTCATTATTTTAATCAGACGAACCCGCCACATCCTCCCATAACCGCTGCAATAGGTACGGAAGTCCAGGGCGTCCTTGAAAATGAGCAACAGTCTTGGATCCCGCAACGAACTAAATCAGGAGATATTATCAGAGGAGAAGAAAGCAAAATAGTTTCAGTTTTTCTTGGTAAATTTAATGCAGGAGACAAAGTGACTTAACTCTTAAAGGTGCAAAGAGACTACACAAATGGGAGAAGCCCAGTCGCCAAACATAGACTATGACCTACGTAGTTTTTATTTAAATTACCGTGTTTGAGCCCTTATGTGAGCTGTTGCATTCGTTTTCGGCTATGGACATAGCCAAAACGCCTAAACACGCGGAAATTTTATTCATATTGTAAACCATACCTGATAAAATCAGTAAATTATCTAAAACAGCTTAACTTTCTTTCATTCAGCGTAGTCGCAATGACTACGCTACCTGAGTATGTGATGAATTAACTGCTCATATAGCTCCGCTATCGAACATCAGAACCACCTTGAATCGATAAGTTTAAATGAAGACAATTTCCACCTAAAGTCACAATGGTCTGTGAGAAATTAGACAATACTGAGATCCACCTGCAACCACATCTGAATGGATCGAACGAACCGGCTCATGCACGGATGTAAAGAACTGATAAAGGCCCTTGACAGAAGATTCCCATTTACACAGGCATACAGTTCGAACTTAATTTCAAACCTCCGATAATGCCTTAAACAATCTAGCAATTTCGCTTCGACCATGTTGTGCGAGAAAGCTTGCGGAAAAGTTAGGCCTGGCATTGTACTCAGCACATAGTCACTAATTCTCAAGATCAATTGAACGCCATCCCTCGAGGACAGGTAGGGCCTCAATGCTAACCGCCCCATAAGCCATACACAGAAAGATCAAACCCAGATGTTTACCCTGAAGAAGTTAGCGTCGTACCGAGCCCATTGTGTCCCTATCAGCCCATACAGGTTCCCCATGTTACACGCATCTAAAAGAAAGCCACCAGATACATATTATAAATTGGTCTTTGCTTTCTCACTAACAACCTTAATGTGCTCAATAAAGGAAAAGTTTTATCCATAAATAGAATGAGATAGCAAACTGACTCTGTTCGTTTTTCGGGAACGTTGTGTACATATCCTACTGGATGGTCATGTCACATCCCCGCTACTCCTAATACTTAACCAATCCCTAATATAATTTATTTATAAAAGTTTTACTTTTGGTTTGATTTATTATTCTAAAACATTAGCTATATGCCCAATATATGAAGTCAGTTAGCTAACTCTTAGTCTTAGTTAACTCAACACTCACTCTCGAGTTTTGATATTCACACGCTCGGCAGGCGACTTGGGGTTGGGGATTACCGTTGAAATACAAGTATTTGAAGTTTTGGGCCATTCGGTAAAACTAACAGGTTATGTACTTATAGGAAATTCAAAAGAATTTAAAAGATTTCTGAGCATATAATTATTCTCAATTGATGTGACTAGGTACGAAAATTTAAACAAACGACATAAAACGAATCGAGTTTCAACAGTCATCATTTTGTTTACAACTAGCTATTCTCACACAGTTTCACCCGCTGTTCGGCTTCATTTGATCGAAGCGTGATTTTTAATAGCCTATAGCACTCAGGAACATTGTAGCTATCTATCAGTGAAAGAATTTTGGCATTCCGACCAGCGGTTCTCAAGATTACCTACGCCCTACATACAAAATTACAAACTTATCAATTTTACCTCTTAATAATATTAGTATAGATATAGATAATTTCATCTTAGTTCATCCTAACCATCATATTAACTTGTTTTCTGAGTATTTTATTTAATATTATTATGGTCTATAAATCAGATCCAGGTCGAGATCGAGCTTAGATCTTTTCTTCGGCTGGAATTATAGATGCCTTTATTCAAAACTATGGTACGCGTAGTAGGCGAATACGAATGGTGATAAATTTAGAAAATAGCACTGGGCGCCGGCGCCTGCGATAGCTATCAGCGACATGAATCAGCGTCGTCGCATCGACGACCACCCGGCACACCGCCACCGCCGCGCCGCGCCGCGCTGCCTGCGAGCCCGCGGCCTGCGCCTACACTGTGTCTGCTTCTGCCCTAATGTTTTGCACGCCCTTCATATTACGAGTACTTATTCTCTTAAAATGTTCTATACATATATTGCAACAATCTTTAACCAAATCAATAAAAAACAAGTATATATAATTATTTTTTTATTAAAAACAAGGTACAAAAAATTAGGTCTTTAGTAATTTTAGTTCCTAAGAAAATAGTATCACTGATATGGAATTCATCAATAATTTTAAGTAAGCGTTAGTTAGCTGGGTAGTATTTAACATGAAATTTAATTGGCGATTAACGTAAGTACATAACGGAATTACTAGAGAACGGATTTTATGCATTTTGCTTATTTATTAATAAAGCATATTTTTGCTATTATTTGTATGCCCTTTAGGGTTTATCCTTAATAACTAACTAAAGCAACTTTTGTGTAGCAAACTAGGTCTTGTTTCGAAAAGACCGATAAATGGGTTTAGCCCGTAGGTATCCTCAAAGAACTGTGATGTAGGATTGTTTTAATGTGTGTATTGGAGCATCAAACATGTTGAGGATATCAAACTTTATTGGCATCATATTTAAGGCCTTTTGGGGCATTTTAATCTACATTTCGGTTTGTGATGATGCGTATTTTGATACTTTCATGTTCCTTTGACATTTTAATAATCGGGGTTCTTTAGTCAGAATTTTAATTCGATTCCAGATTTGACATAAGCTACTGTCATTTTGTGAAATAATGATACCACATATAACAGTGTAGTGATGAACACCAAAATCGATAGCGAAGACGAGGACAATAAAATAAATGATTACCATAATACATCTATCTGTTTTATTGTTTTATTTGTCATGTTCCTACATGATCACATTTTTTTATTAATTTCACACACAATTATAAAAGAAAAGTCTCAGATGGTTAATTAATTGTCAAAACTAAATTATCGGTTTAGAAATATTTATATTTCCTGATAAACTTAGTTTACGAGAGTAAATTTATAAACGAGAGGAATCGATTCGGAAATATTCCATTTCCATATCGAATAATTTCGCAATGTCACTATTTAGTACTTGTCATAACGTTGCAACACTGAAATTGTCAAATCTGGAATCCAATTAAAATTCCGAGTATAGTAATTATCTATTGTTTACATACCACACCTATGTTAAATATAAGGTTCGTGTATCCATCAAGCATAGCCACTTATTATGCTTTAAGGCGTCGCGATGGGTGCAATCGATTACAATATTTAACTATTCTATAATCTAGCAAAAACGAATTAAGAAGTCATAAAATCTGCCTCAAACTTTGTATGCACATGAGACATGTTAATCTGAAATAAAATATAACAAATACAACTCACCTCGGAGTAATTTATTTATTTGAAAACTTATTTTATTCAATTAACTTCTTGATTTTTATTTAGCGATACGATCTGGTTACGCCAAAAAGTTATGAACGCAAGGCCCGGGGGCGCGCGAGGGCATCCTTCATTAATTTCCCTCTGTAAATATTGCCTCCATATTATGCGATTGTTTTACGATTTAATGCTCTCTCATTCGACCTCTTTTCAATTTAGGGATCCGTTTCAATACTAAACTTTAGTGTATGATGACGATAAATTTCAATAATTCTGACTTCATTTTGATTAAAAAATATTTCACAAACAAAACTTATGATTATATCTATGATTATAAAATATCAATTCCATATACTGTGACTTTGAACTATTTGAACTATTTACTTCAACGCTAAACCAACTATAAAAATAATGCGTTCTACACAGACACACATAAAATATTCAATACATTTTGTCACCCTGTCTCCCATAGAGGAAGACAGACACAATACAAAGCTAAATCACAATTAAAAATCTATATCTAAGCGTAAGGAATGCTAATTAATCAAGCTTAAATTTGAGGTCATTTAAAAGTAAGAATTTTACCTGTAGTTAATAATAATCTCATAAAAATGTTATATAAAAAGATATTTAATAAAAATATTGAATCACAAAAATTAAATATACAGTAATAATTACACGTGGGGTCTCAATCTCGACAAGAATTGTAACTGTAGGGACACGAAACAAGTCAAGTGGTCACGGGCTCTCTGCCGATGTTGTGAACATTTATCTGAATATCGCAAACTGTAATTATGAAACTTAACGTTCGAGGCGCGCTGTTACAATTAAACTAGCGGTGCCTTCACCAAATAATAAATTAACCAGATTATATCAAGAACATTCATTGTAATTTTTCAAGGATTATTATGTGTGAGACATGTAATGATCGAAAAATATTTTTTTGAACTTTGATTTAAATATTTTGAAGTCTATATTCGAGTTTTTGTTCACAAAAGAGATACAGATATTAGAATTGCTCACTATATCTTTTATTAGATTGTGTGCGAGATTCTTAAACATCATTATGATATGATGATATGAATGATACTTGCTCCTTGAGTGTGAAAACATTAATTAATCACAGCACTTTAAATTTGCAATACCCTTTCGCTTTTAGGCTAAGAAGCCGTCCATATTTTCAGTACAATTTTAAGCATCGTACTCCCAAGTTCCGACTGAAGAAAAACTTCCGACCTAATTAGGTTAGGTTACATTTGGTCGCAGTCGGAAGTGTTTCTTTTAAGTTACTTTATTTATCCAGTACGTTTTGTTTCTTAGCCATACCTATCTTCTGCAAATTTTCCTTCTTCTTTCATCTTTCATATCAGTTGGGTTCTTTTATTAATTAACCCTCGGAGATGGTAAACCATCTAGAAATATTTTCTCCTGTATATTTTTACCCTATTGTACAATTAATTATATAATTATTTCCACAAACTATACTCTTGCATAACTGCTTAAATTGATTTCATGATCATTCTTATGTCCAATTCAGAACAAACTCCCCTTTTTTTAATTGATTTCGATAAACAAAAATGTTAAGCTAAGCTTTAGTAATTAGCGTCGTTAAGCGATTTTATACCTTAACAAAATAAAAAGTATTGAACTAATGCACACTGAGGGTCAGTTCACACCAAGACGCGACGCGAAGCTAAGCGAACACATTGAAAGATCGATTAAAAAAACAACTTTATCTTGCACACGACAATGTTTCAATTTCATGCGATGTGTCTAGTGGCGGCTTCAATGACCTTTTCAATATCGTCTTAGCGCGTCGCGTTGTCTCTCGGTGAAATAACCCTTACGCAGTAACAACTTAAGTACGCAATCTTACCTACATTTTGTCTTAGACAAAATCGGTATTTCGGCTACAACTGTACAGTGTTGAAGTCAAGCATAAAAATGTATAATATGTAACTACTAAAATACTAAATAAACAATTTTTTTTTATCATAAATATGTTCGTGAACTAAATCCCGTCAAAAATCACATAATACATAACTACCATGATATGAAAACAAGTCGTAGGTAGATACATAACAATACAAGTTAGGTACAGGCTGTCCTGGGATAATAGATCAAATCGAAACAAATGCGGAGACTATCGACCGAATCCATTTTATCGAAAGTTTAAGATACAGACTGTATACTAATTAAAATCATTATTAATTATTAATCATGTTTAAAAATTGGACGTATTTTACAATATCTTAATACAGCGACATCTTGTTTTATCGCAGAGAACTAACTACGAATTCACCTTGCTAAGCGCTTTTGTTTGTACTGACATTGCGCACGTAATACTTGCGAATTATATTTCAACAAAAGTCAAAAATAAGTAACAAAAGTATACTTAAAAACTAATTAACCTTAATTGGAATGAGTAAAACTGTAAAACAATTAGATATCACAAGTTAGGAAACGGGAATAATGTTAGTGAAGCTACCTCACAACTCTTCGTGTGTTGGTCGTAATCCGGATAACTCGAGGAAATCTTTAAAGGCTTTTTGTTTACGCACGTGATCGGCACATTTCTTCACCAGTCGCAGGAACTCACGCACGTCGAAAGAATAGTTCGTGAACTTAGCGTGTGAACCGCCGCCGGGACCATGTCCCTAAAAATAATTGATATCTTACACACGATACTACAATCTAAACTAAATACTTTTTAGTAAGTGATATCTATAATATAAAAATGAATCGCAAAATGTGTTGGTAAGCGCATAACTCAACAACGCCTCGACCAATTTGGCCAATTCTTTTTTTAAGAAGTTCGTTGAAGTCAGATGTTAGTTGAATATAAAATAGGTCAGCAGTTGAATATAAAACAGGACGAAGTCTGTCGGGTCAGCTAGTTAGATTTTAAACTCATGTGAGACGTGCTTCATTGACAGAGAGGTGTAAACGTCACTGTAAGGTAACGAACCATCCCTTTGGGTTCTAACTTTTTCTTTGGATTTGCTCTGTATGCAATCTGGTTGTGGCCATTGTTTTATGTCATTTGCACCACGCAGGCAACAACTATAGGGAAAACTAGAATCGGCCAGAGTTGCAGTTAGAGAAATCTGGGGGTGGTTTTTAGTTAGTAGGACTCGCTTTCGCCCCACCTTGGGGGGGGAGAAGTCATTGTGGAAATTGGGAATTAGGCCTTCGGTGTAAACGCATTGTTTTACACCGCTATGAGATGTTGGTACCAATCCATTTGGGTTGGCGCATTCAAGCCAAAACATGGGTCTCCCGAGTGATACAAGTTGTGTGTACCTAATTGTGTCGGAATATATCAATCCTCTCTGCCTGTGATATAATAGACTGCTAGATAGGAGGCTAGTCTATGGCAGCATATCAATTTATTTAAATTATTGTATATAAGTAAACAAGTTACCTCATCCTGTTGAACAAGTTTAGTTTTGTCTTCCCAAGTAACGTATTTAAGACCCCGAAGCCTTGTTAAATCCAGGTAACAGTTCGGATCCTCGCAATTGTAACTGTAAATAATTAATAACATTTTGTAACTTTTTGCTTCAAACTTTGTCATTCTCTACAAGTTTCTAATGTCTTGGGTGTGTTACGATCACACAAAGAGGTTGCCCAGTCACAGCCAGCTAGGCAACCGATTGGCGATGGTATATCCATACACATGTTAGGTACAGAGTATACAATAATATTCAAACCTGGATGTTATCGACTTGGTAATAACGAAATGGCTTTATGTCATATGTGTAAGAAGAACATGTACTCCATATTTTATCCATTATTTACTTATGGAATCATACAAAATTAGTTCGTAGAAGGTAAGTCGTAGTTCTAAATTAAAAATTATGTTAAGATAATACTAACACTTCAAATACAGCTGCCCAATCGGGCAAGAAGAGTAGATGCGTTAATCCAGCGCCATGCATTCCAATAAAAATATCAGAGTTATGAGTAATTTCCAATTGCTTGAGAAACGGCACTGTTCTGTCATACACCACACGCTGCACTTCATACCCTTCCACTTTATTTAAGGCATCAATAATTGCGTTTTCATTGAGTATGGAGCGGTATGTGGTCCCTCTTGACAGGAGAGTTACTCGTACTTTGTCATTAGTCCGTGGCTTCAGTTTTATATTCAGTGAATGGATTATGTGCCTTGAGAATGCATGGAACAGACCACTCCTTTCACAACCATATATCTGTAATAAATTATGTATATTCATTTACTTGATTCACATCACATCACATCATCAGCCTATAAGTGCCCACTGCTGAGCATAGGCCTCTTCCCACACGGAGAAGGTTCGAGCATTAATCACCACGCTTGCTCAAGGCGGATTGGCAATTTCAAACTTATAATTAGAGATTGAAGTCCAGGTTTCCTCACGACGTTTTCCTTCACCGTTTGTCAATGGTTTCTAAATAATCATAAAAAGTAACTCGGAAAAAATCACAATGATACTTTCCAGGTTTCGAACCCGCACCCTCATGCATGAGAAGCGGGCGCTTTAACCTCTGAGCCACCACGACATTACTTGATGAGCTCAACGAAACTAAACATTGTAAATTAAGAAAGCTTTATCTAGTTCTTTTTATATATAATTTTGATGTGTAAAAGTACTGTTTTATGGCCTAATTGAAAGATAAATGTATTGTTTCAACAGAAGTAATTAAGAACTCTTTTGTTATGTGTGTATATATATTATTTGTGCTAGTTATAAATTACAACTAAAGCCTTACCAAAGGAGTATTGTAAAACAGTCCGAAGATCATTCTAGGTAATAGAGGTAACACAACATTTTTGAAGCACACAACTTTTCCTCTGAATGTTTTCAGGTCCCAAATAGGATTGTCAGTGAATGCTTTAAAAGTTTCTTTAAAAGCAGATTCATATGTGAATGTTTCCCACACCAGTATATGATTATCCTTTGAGAATGTAGATGGATGTGTTGAATTCACATGAAGAGATGCATACAAGTTGAAGAAGTCACAGAAATGGTGGTACATGTTAACAGCTGAAACAGAACATTCACATTGTAAAACACTTAAATTTTACTCGTGTTATAGTCATATTAATGTGATATTCTCACATCACAGCTCTCATCTTGTGATGAAGGTACAACAGAAGGTGTAACACAAGGACAGTAATATTGAAATCAGAGTAAATAGTGTTTATCAATACCAAATCAGCTATTCTCAAGGCATGTACAATTGCCGACTTGGAAGATTTTAAGAATCAAGGTAGGTAAATGTCCGTCCCTGCGTGCCAAGTATATATAGATATTTTTTTATTTCATTTACAATAACACAGACGTAAAGCTTTCAAAAAAATATGTATGCAACAATGATCTGAAGACTACTTACTAGCATCCAATTTCATTATGTATGTGGGTTTCTTTATTACTATGTCACACATCCCATCAGGTATTGGCCTCTGCGGAGTCTTAACAAAATGTATAAGTTCAGGAGCCCATGATTGTAAAGCACTCATGTGATCTGCCTCCTTCTTCAATCTCTCCGAATAAAAGTTACAGAAACCACCTGAAAATAAAGGAAAACCTGATAGATAACTACAATGTTCCTGATTGCTATTTAACTAATATTATATATGCGAAAGTTACGATGTTTTGATGTTTGTTACTCAATCACGTTAAAACGGCTGGAGGGATCTGGATCAAATTTGGCACAGGTGTAGGATATGCTCCGAAATAGGACATCGGCTACTTTTTATCAACATACCTCGCGGGCGGAAGCTATCCATACTATATAATATTATAAATGCGAAAGTTACTCTGTCTTTTCTTCGCGCCTAAACTACTGAACCGATTTCTGTGAAATTTGGTACATTCATAGTTTGGAACTCGAGAAAGGACATAGGATTTTTATACCAAAAATCTGCAGGAAATCATTTTTCAAGGCGAACGAAGTCTTGGGCACAGCTAGTAGGATATAAAACATCACCCTACGACCAATAGGAGCCGAGCAGCGGGTGAAGCTGCGCGGCAATAGCTAGTATTATTATAAAAATGAAACAAGACACAGGGTTGCAATACAAACAAAGTGTAAGTAAACATTCAAAGGCATTTTTTAAGCTAGTTGGGTATCTTGCTAACTTTTTTTAATTGATACTACTGGTGGCAGTTTGACATATGTAAAATATTAGTATGAGATTCTCTGATATTTATATTAGAGAAGAATATTTATATTAGAGAAGGTAGGTATTTTTTTCAGCGACGAATATCACGCTCGGTTCTGGTCGCGCAGCGAGCTACCCTTGCTCGCCGTTAGCGTAGCGTTAAGCGCAAACCCGCGATTAGGATTTAAGGATGGCATTTAAGGATAAGGGTAGGGTATGGAGGAAGGGAATAAGGATTGGACCTCCGGTAACCTCACTCAAACTGCAAAACATAATGCTGCAATAGTTTCATGCTGGTTTTATGTGAGGTCGCTGGTTTTTTTCGAACTCAGGTCGAGCCGACACATTCGTCGCCGGTTCTCCCAAACGAAAAGTTTCCTAGTCTCCTTTCGCTCGGACGGACCCGAAAAGTCGCCACCACCGATCACTCTCCAAGGATACGGCGGTGCTCAGCCCAAGCAAAACACATCATCACCATGTCCTTGCTACACAGGGTGACATTTAATTTGTGAAGGACAACTAAGCACATAATTTTATTCTGAGTAATGATAACATTAGAAACCAATTACTGCCACTGAGGTAATTGGACTAGTGTAGCCCCCAGCTAGTTGGCGCTATTTTGTAATCAAGTGAGGTGAATTAACTTAGAACATAATTTGATTTCTTATTGGTAACAATAATGCTTATGATGCCTTTTAACATTAAGGCCACCTTTACGTGAAATACATAAAAGTCTTAAATAATTATAATAATTAAATGTCACCCTTTACATACAATCCGAGCATGCTGCAATATTTTGTATTTAACATAAAAATGCTTACATTACCTATTTGACCAGGGCCCAAAATATCCATCTTGTACCTCAAATTGTCCCCACGGCCTACAAGGCCTGTGAAATTTAACATCATATTTCTGCCTCTACAAAATCTGAAAAAAGATTTTACTTTATTTGATACAAATTATTTCCTTAAGTTAAATGATAAATATGTATATTGAAGCTTAAAACCTTGAGGATTACCTTAAATATTTTGAGCATTCCAATGATGTGTCATCAGGATATGTTGCTTCACACATAACCATCAAATCGTCTATTTGTTCTTTAACATACCCTGGAATTAGATAAAGACCAATTTAAAAAAAAAAGTTGTTTTCATACAAATGTTCATTAAGTCATTAAAGTGTTCAATTCTCAACAAGTGTTGTGTGCTGTTGAGTATTTATCATATTTTTTTTGTACTACAATATATTATTGAATTAAACATTTTCTATAAAACATTGAGAGCTATGATAGTAATAATAAAAGTATTTGTAGATTTGACAGACATTGTTGATATTTATTCAAATACTAAATATTTCAAGGATAATGCATTCACTTTACAGGTGTTTATGTAAATATTCATAGACCATGGCCTTTTATTTAAGCAACTGCTTCTTACAGCATATTGTAAATAATGGACTTCATTTAAATTATAATCATGCCTTTTTTTAAGTAATAGCGTCGTTTATATTAATGAAAGCAGAAAGGTGTCTCTTGATTGTCTCACTAGGATTGTGCAATGAGCAACTAAATTACTTAAAACAATACTGAATGCATTACAATCTCAGTATATAAACTTATCAAAAACTCTGATCCTTCTATGACATGATAAGTAACACACTAACCGAAATCCGCTTGAGTGTAGAAAGTATCATACTGAGCTGCCTTCGTCTTCACCCAGCCGCGATGGTCACCGGGACAAACAGGCCGAACTGGGTACGACATATCTCTGTTACATTTGTGTTCATAGCCCCAACATCTTTTAGTCCCTACCAATTCTTTGTAAGAACATTGTGGGTCTGATATGCAAGCATCGGCAACACTTGGAAAAGCATTGAAAACATATGTTATATGCTCCGGTGGTACATTTAAATCACTGATACCGATCGAAGTAATACTATTTAATGATATAAGAATATAGAGAGAAAACAGAGGAAGCCACATATTCATAAGTTTCAGTTAGGTTTGGGATTTTTTACACTACGTAGAAGTTTTCAAACTTTTAACTTGAATGTTGACAAAAAGTCAAAAACTATTAAACAGAAAGTTTATAGAAACAAACTGAAAGCTCACTGAAATTGACAACGACAACCAACAAAATGACAGTGACATTAAGCCTTGAAAGTTGATTTTATAGAGTAGTAACGCATAAATGAATGCAAGTCCAAGGTCCACAACTTGTGTCCAAGAAATGTATAGCCTAAAACGCCCTCAATAGTATAGCCTAATTACGCATTAAACATACTTAAAATTTCACAATACTGAATTCATTCCCGGTTAATTCTATGATTAGGTAGATTACTGTCATTGATTGGGAATTTTATTTAAGTAAGCGTTGATCAAATATCACCCCAGTTAATTAGGTTAATAAAAACAATTATCATTATTGTAACAGTTTATTAATTTTGAAAACTTTACAAATTGTTTTAATTAATTGACAACATTGTACATCAAAACTTATCGACGAAAGATTATTCCAGGTATTTTCTTAGAACTATCGCATCGGCACATAACTTTACTATTTTATTTTATTTTACTGTGTTCAATGAATTTAATTATTTAATGGTACAAAAAGTATATTTCTTCATATTTTTATAACGGTAATCAACACTGCAAACCATTTCAGAATATTTTTGACAAAATGACTTTAACGCCGAACAAAAGTGGCTTGTGCATTCGTCCCATGCTATGCACATTACCAATGTAGCATATCGTATTTTGTCACAATGGATGAATTGATGACACTGAGTGTGGCACCGAAACATGAATGTCCATAAGCATCCACGCCTGAATAGTAGCTTAAACAGATCAACAAAGCGTCACGCCTTCTGCGGAGCATGGCAGTTTAGGCTGCCTCAATGGCGTTGAGATCAGCATAATTGGGCATTAGACACCAAGATCTGACGAAGTTTAGATATTCAGAAATCGCACAAGCCACCCTTAGAGCTGCCCACAGGCTTCACTCAGTTTCCCCAATTTACGAAACAACGTTAAAAGTGCGCCCGTCTGAAAGTTTAGGTTAACTAAAGCTCATCGTCTGTCCAAAATTAATCTCAAGTACTTCACGGTGGACTCAACAGCTATTCGAACTCCACTAACCACGACGTTATTCCAGCGACGACACCCGTTAGGGCCCATCAAATGCATTTTTTTATGTTATAGGTCGGCAAAACGAGCAGACGGATTACTTGACACCCGCAACATCAAAGGAGTTGTTGTCGAATGTGTTGCCGGCCTTGGCCGGATTGGGCCACCGGTAACCTCACTCACACGGCGAAACACAATACTGTCATTGTTTTACGCCGGTTTTCTGTAAGGCCGTGGTCTCTCCTCTCCTCTCCTCTCACTCTGGTCGAGCCGACCCATTCGCGCCGAAACATGGCTCTCCCACACTTTTCATCTGAGAGAGCCATCCATGATCTTGGAGATATCTCCAGGCCCAGACATTTAATAATTCAATTTATGAATACATATACACATATTAAAATTATATACATACTGTAGCCCCGAACCCTAGAATTAGTTATTTAAGTTTCCCCATTTTTTGAAAGAGTTTTTCGAGTTTTGTGTAGAACCAATTTAAAACTGCAACTAAACAAAACTTATTAATGACACTCTCATCTCCATCTACCAATTTGTTTTGAAGGTTTCAGCATTAACAAAATTTCATTCATAGTTATAAGAAGTTCTTTTCCTCTCCTCAATCAAACGGCGCAAATAAAATAACTGAGATGTTCAGCCCGTCGGATCCAAGTAGATAATTATGTAATTAGTTTAGTAGTAATTTATGTTGTTAGTAACTAGGTACATAGATTTTAAAATATAAGTACATATTTGTTATTACTAAAGTTATTTACGTTTATTAGAGATAGTTTTGTGGAAATGTATTAGCCTGTAAGTTTAATTAAGGTTCTTTGTGCTTATGTTCTTTTGTTTTTCTTTGTCTAAATTATTTTACGGTTATTACCCGGATATTGTGTTATAAGTTTACTAATAATATGTAACTGCATCTATAGTATTAGGTGTGCCTGTAATGATGAATGTAATGTTTAAATATAAATAAATAAATAAATAAATATATAGTATATAGTTTTGAAATGCCCGGTCGAAGCATCTCGTGACCAGCGTTTGCTGGTTGCTGGTTTGAAGTTCGGACATTTTCGTACAATAAAAAAAAATATTAACATTTTATTTAAATTATTGGTTTTAACTTGTTGGTAACTATTGGATTCAAGAAGTGTGTAAAAAAGTATTTATCTGGACTTTAGAAGAGACTGACCTCTGAGTTTGTTTCATACTTCCTCTCAGAGTAGTGGGATAAAAATGCTCGCTTCATCTAGAATTTTTTATACATATAATGTACTTACAAGAATAATTAATTGTTTCAATATATCCATGGTTTTGGATAAAAACCTCAAGTAAAAATGAATAATGTATGTAGAATGTAATGAGTTTATTCCACATTCAGTATTTGTCCGAATAAAATCGCAAAACGAATTATTATTGTTGTGTAAGCTAAAAGTACGGACTACTTTTAATAGGTCTCCTAATGGACTTTGGTGTGAAAGAAAAACAAACAACAAAATATGTTCAGAAATGTTCAATCCTCTCTCTAATATTTTCGCATTTATTGAGTAAGTAATATACCTTGAACTAAAAGGGCTCGCGAGCTAAAAATCAAATGTTGCCGTTATAAAAAACGAAACGTTTTTTAATTTAATTTGCTCAATAGATGGCAGCATAAACAAAAACGTTTGGCGCCTTTTCTAGATACAAAATTCCCGGCGGATGCCACCGCTACTACCACGTGAACACAACAGCAGTCCAATCAGCTGGTAAATCATAAAACCGCCCGCCCGCCTCTGTCTATTTACTCTTCCGTTGTTTTAAATTAGGCTTTTATGTGCAATGTTTATAACTTTTCGATTACATTTCTTTAACGAATTGTGAAGTTAGTGTTAATATCACGATATTGTGTTACAATTAAAATAACAGAATAATTTCATTTGATTTTTCTGACCTTCGAAGTTAACCCAAAACTAATGTCGCCATTTTGACCATACAAATCGAGTTTAGTAGGTATTGTTATTTTGTTTGGTCATCAACAAATGTTTAAATGTTACATTAGTGAATTACGTAAATGGACCTACATTTACGAAGAATACGGAGAAAATGTCTCAGACGAATAGTACTGTAAATTTTCTTATACATGACGCTAATGGTTAGTAGCCAAGCTATTTATCGTAAAGCTTATTTTTACTCTATAATATTTAGAATTCTGCTCATAACTTTCCATGGTCATGCAATTTTAAAAATTTACAGTTTTTCCTATGTAGAAACGACGCGCTCGGTTGGGCAGTTTTCTTTTGTCAGTTAGTGAATTTGTGATTCTTCAATTTGTACAGCTCTTTCTATTTTCTCTAGATAGCTTGTGATTTTTAGCTCTAAATTCTAAAATTTTGATGTAATAGCTGTCAGTAGCTAACACCTATTTCTGAATAAGATTACCGTAACACTCATGAATGCTATATTTTATTTTAGGGCATCCTCAGATGGTAAAAGTTGTTCAAAATACTAATAATCAGTCTCTTGCTCAACTAAAAATTAAACCTAATCCCGTCAAAATTATTAAACTGCCAGCATCAGCTGAGGGAATCAATAAGGTATGTGGTATGAAGATTTTTTTTATTTACTCCTTGATGCCAAGCATAGAGTGTATTTTTTTTATTTTAATGTACATACTTATATATATGTTATTATTTTAGAAAATTGTCATAACATGACAAATTAAGTTTAATAAACATATGAGTTTGGTTCCTGTTTGATCTGGTGATCCCTAAACATTTTTATTTGACACAATATTGAGTTAATAAGTCTTCATAATTTACTAGAATTTTAATAAGATTATAAATAACAACTGTCTAGTATTTTCAGTTCTTAATATATTCAAAAATTCAGGCCAAACTCAAGGTGTAACCAATATAAGGTCCAATAACTTGAAATTACTATAATTTAACATAGTCTGTAAACTAAGAGAGCTAAATTTACCAACTAAACTCTTAACTAGCCATCTCAAATAGCCTTAACCTACAAAAAGAAATCAGAATACAATTATTTAGTCTAAAAATATGTGCGGATCACACAGTGAGTTGCCCCATAGGACCTGTCTTAAATGAAATAAAGTAATTAAATTAGGAATGCTTCTTTCTAGAAATTCAGAACTAGTTTCAACTATTACAATTACTTAGCTAAACAAGTCCCACATACTGAGATGAATAGCATAGGTAATCATGGGGATATTGAGGCCTATAAAGTAGATAATAAATCTAAGACATTATAATAGATATGATCACAATACTATAACTGAAATGAAGTTTTAGACATTCTGAGCCAAATATTTCCTATTTTTTATTACAGACATCAGTGTACCGGGCAGTAAAGTTGACTGGAATCAAATGTGCATCAAGTAAGCTAGTTTACTCACTTTTCTTTGTTTGTTTTTCCTACTAAATGAAAAGCAAGCATTTGCATTGTGCAATGTATTGACATCTTTTAAATTGGTCTCTACAGAAACTGTAGATTTTTATCATTTACTATTAAATCTTTACTTTTATCTTTAATGGAATAATCATGAACATTAATGAGTTGGTTGTGCTTATGTTGTTATCTGATTATTTATTTATTATTAAATTATTTCAGAGTTTTTACAAGTTGACAATTTACCTAACTTACAAGCTATTAAGGTTGAACCTAAGGACCCTGAGGAAGAAAATCAGGTAATTATGATAAAATATTTAGCACTGATTATTGATTAGATACAAATGTGGTGTGTTGGTGCAAGAAGGATTTTTTTAATTTAGTTCTTTGATTAACTTCTCATCTGCAGTTATATGAGACACATTAGAAAATACATTGTCTTTTAGCATGTTCAGGCATACTATGGGTTAAGGCTCAGTATTAATTTAACTTTAGAATTCAGAATGTCACTATGTGATTTTGGTCAAAAATTCAATATTCCAGTTTATTTTGTGAAAAAAAAAAAACTGGAAAAAAACCTTTTGAGAAAAGAGGTGTCCTGGTGCACACTTGATAAAATTACCTTTGGTAGAAGGGCTTTATACTTAGTCGGGTCATAAGTTCTGTCACAAACTTTTGATGTAATAACTTATACGCCTTTTGACAATTATTTAAAAATTATATATGAAATGAAAGGTCATTAAATGTACAATATAATTTTATTTACATTATTCGAAATGCCCTCCCCCATTTTGAACACATGCCCTTAATCTACGCGGCCAGTCATCGATCGCTGCACGCACCACATTCATATCTATGTCTGCCGCTGCTTTAACCAGAGATGCTCGGAGAGACTCCAAATTCGGGTGAGGTTTAGCACAGACTTTTTCCTCCAAATATTGCCATATCTTGTAGTCCAGTGGGTTTAAATCTGGACTAGAAGAGGGCCAGTCTTCATGCCGGATGAAGTCAATTCCACGAGCGATCAACCAGTCTTGCGTACTTCGTGCCTTATGAGCCGGTGCAGAGTCCTGTTGGAATATCCAATGCCTGTTCCTGAACATTGTCTGAGAAAGAGGTTCCACTATGTTTGTTAGGACAGTATTTTGATAAACTTCGGCACTAGTTCTCACACCTTTTTCACAGAAAAACACCTCAGTTACGCCTGAATATGAGACTCCAAGCCAAACCATGAATGAGGAAGGGTAATGCCCACGCTGGACCCTCGCAATACGCGCGCTTGCTTCTTCACTGCTGTGGGCATACACCTTATCATTTTGTTTGTTAAAACTTTCTTCAATAGTAAAAATTTTTTCATCCGAAAAAAGAATTTCGCGGTATTTTTTTCCCGCGTACCGTCGTAGCAAAGCGCGGGATCTGTCTAGCCTAATTTTTTTTAAACGCTCGTTCAAAAAATGTCCTGTCTTTTTACGATAAGCTCGTAGTCCCAGGTCTTCATTTAGTACTCTTTTAACAGTGGTTCTGCTTAGCCCCATCTGCAGAGCTAGGATTTTTTGTTTACGTACGGGATTTCGTTCGATTCGCGCCTTCACTGCTTTGATGACCTTATGTGTCCGAACTGTGCGAGGTCGGCCGCTTCTCTTACGATCTTCGAAGCTTGACTCTTCGGTGTATCGTTTGATAGTACGATAAACAAACCGTAACGTTATTTTCAAATTTTGAAGAATATTGAAAATGTCTTTTGGCGCGTAACCACAGCGGTGCAACGCGATAACCGCGATTCTGTCTTCTTTATTCGACCACTCCATATTTAAAAATGAATAAAAAATAATTTCTTTTTTATTTCCTACAAGCGCGAAAGTTCTATTTTTAAAATAAGTCGAAGAATTTCTGGCCAGTAATCGAAAATTAAAAATATAAGGTTTTGACAGAACTTATGACCCGACTAAGTATAGTATCTCCTCAATTTTAAAATTTTATTGAAGTTGTATAAACATTTACGAACTAAATAACTCTTTAATTTTAGTCAAAATAAGGAAAAATAGCTTTATATATTTCATTGATAGAAAAAATAATGGTTTTATCTTTGTTTACAGGCACAACCAGAACCATTGTCAGAACTGAAATATATACAGGCAGTGCCTGACCTAAGTTCTATTCCAACAAAGTCTGATAATTTAGTAACAAGCACTGGTAATAGCTTGTCTCCTGCCATGTCTCATGCTTCAAGAAGGAGACATGATTCTGATAATGATCCTCCAGCAGAGTAGTGAGTATTGTCTTTGCCAATGTTTCTTTCCTAGCCTGTGACATCCATTTCTCAATGTTTGTTTTAAATCTTGCTCATAAATATGTCAAATAAATAGTTGGATCCTTACATACAATTACAATTAAGTCATATTATTTTAATTTATTATGGATATACAAGTTCATTTGCCTTCACATGTAGCCTTTTTACATTTCTTCAGATAAACTTCATATATTTTCTTCTATTCATTCAGTATAAAGACTTGATTTCACCTATTCTGATGTAAAATTGAACTAAACTTGCTTTGTAACTGCCTGCTATATTTTCAGCACCACAAAGAGACGTAAGCATGCAGACAAAGTTGGCAAGGGCTTAAGGCATTTTTCAATGAAAGTTTGTGAAAAGGTCAGAAATAAAGGGTTCACTTCATATAATGAAGTTGCAGATGAATTAGTGCTTGAATTTGCAGCAGGGATGCATGGTTCAGCAGATAGCCAAGTATGTGTAAGAAATATTTAATATTTTTAACACCAAAAATATGTATTAACTTTAAAAATTCATGAGCAATCAGTTAGTCGAGAGTAGTAAGTAAAAATTTAATTCAGAGTAATTTAACATTACAGCAATATGATCAAAAGAACATACGCAGAAGAGTTTATGATGCATTAAATGTTTTAATGGCAATGAATATAATATCTAAAGAAAAGAAAGAAATAAGATGGCTTGGATTACCTACAAATAGTGTACAAGAATGTACCGCATTGGAGAAAGAAAAACAGTCTAAATTAGAGCAAATACAAAAAAAGACACAACAATTACAAGAACTTATATTGCAGGTAAGTTTAATATAAGTGTAATTTAAGTTAAACAATATTTTTAAGACCCCTCTTTAAGGCGTGACTTAAGAAACGGCATGCCGTCCTCGCCTTCCGCCTGGCGCAGGTGCTTACCGAGCATGGCAGCTTCGGTAGGTTCCTGTTTCGGATCTGGCGGGAGGGAACGCCCGATTGTCGTCATTGTGAAGACCACCTTGAGGATACGATGGCGGTGTGACCTGCTTGGGCTGAGCACCGCCGTGTCCTCGGGAAGTGACCGGCGGCGGTGACCTCTCGCGCCAGGCCTTAGTCAAAGCCATGGTGCGGAGCGAGAGGAATTGGGGCGCCGACTCCTTTTGCGAAGCAGTAATGCTCGCAAAGAGGGAGGCGGAGCACGTAAGGGAACTATCCTCCTCATGCCTCTGCCGCCGCAGTAGGCAACATTCCGGGCGTCGGGGATCGAGAGATGATCTTCGGCCACCGTAAGCGCGGGTCTGCGGACGGCGAGTAAGGGTAGCTCGCCGACCGACCAGAACCAGACCCGGGCGTACAGCGCGTACCGTTCCGCGCGCGCCTCAAAGATCCAAAAGACCACCACAGACGGGGCCCTATCAATGGAGCTCATGTTCTGCCGGGGTTGCGCGACGAGTCACCGCGGCCTCGGCCCAGAGCAGAAGAAGGAACAGGGGGGTTTTTGGGTGGGAGAACATGAAATTTGCATCTTTAACACAGAAGAAGCGATTTGACTCAGAAGACTATGAAGCGATAGAGTGGAGTCAAAGCTCCAATGTGTCGAGAGTGGAAAAGCATCTGTCGCAATCGAGGGCCGGGCACGTTCTTTCAGCAGCGGTAAGACCCCTCTTTGTGGAGTGGCTAGATAGATGCCATAGCGTCCTCGCCTTCGCCTGACGCAGATGCTTACCGGACACAGTAAAAGCTTCGGTAGGATCCTGTTTCGGATCCCGCGGAAGGAAACGACTGGGTATCATTATGAGGATCACCCGGAACGGTGGCGGTGGCGGTGTGCCCTGATTGGACTGAGCATCCTTAGGGAAGTTATCAGCGGCGGCGACCACTCGCGTCCGGCCTTAGTCGAGGCCATGGTGCGGAGCGAGAGGAACTAGGAATTCCTTTCTTCTTCTGCGAAGAAGTGGTGATCCCAAAGGACCTCACGCACTGTCAACACCGTAGTAGACGACACTCCGGGCGTCGGGGATCGAATGACGATCTCCGGCCACCGTAAGCGCGGGTCTGCGGTCGGCGGGCAAGGGTAGCTCACTATCCGACTAGAACATGACCCGAGCGTCGGGTAACATACCGCGCGGCCTTCAAAAAGCCAATAAACCACCAGAGATGGGGCCCAACAGGGCCGATGTTTAGCCGAGGTTGCGGGTTAAGCGCTATAAGGTACCGCGGACTCCGACAGATCCGAGAGCTAAATGGTTCAATAATTCCGAGGATGTCCCATGAAGGACTTCGGGTGAAGACTGGACAGTTATTTCTCTTACAAAAAAGAGAGATAGGTGCTGGATGCAGATAGCGCCCAACCTGGAGATCATTGGTTAGGCTTATGTAAGCATTGACACCACCGACGTCTTGTGGCTGATATGATGATGATGACTATGTAATTTTTCTGTCTATGATTAGCGTGGGATGTATAGTAACTTTTTTCCATAATAATATGATGCAAAAAAGGTGTAGCTTTTCATGACTTTACCTAAATATGTAACGTCATGGGAGTTTTCTAAATAATTTCCTCATTAGGTATTGAGTAGCCAGGATTTTTATGGACGCTTCTCCCGGGCTCTTCACAATACCGCCTTGTTGAGGCTGAGATACCATACTACAAGTATGTGCCTGATCCAATTCTATAAAATGAAAATATCAAATTGTACCGGGATTGGTCTATCATCACTGACAGAACTATTGTAGTCAATAAACCTGACACAGTGGTGTAGACCGATTAGCGGGTCGCACGATGATAATCGATGCTACCATTCCTCATGACGAGAACCTCGTGAAAGCTGAACGATAGCTGAGAAAGATAAACAATTAATGTGTGTGAATTCAGCTATCATTGTGCTGATACTTGTTGGCAAATGGGTTAATCCCCAAAAGCCTCGACAAACACCTCCTCGAAATCCTCCTTGAAAAGGGAAAGTATTGTGAGGTTTCTGTCTCTAGAGCACTAACCACCAGTAGCTTGGACACTGACAGCTGGCTCCTATTTTTTATATTTATAAATATTATTTTATTTTATTGTGAATTTGAATTTTATGGCAATATTCCTCATAATATTAACATTAGTTTTTTATTTTTCAGCACATTTCATTTAAGAGTTTAATAGAGAGAAATAAAGAAGCTGAGAGCAAAGGAGTTAAGCCATCTCCTTCGTCAGCTATCCATTTGCCATTCATTGTTGTGAATACTAGTGATAAGGCTTTAATTGACTGCAGTATTTCTAATGATAAGTAAGTAATGTAAAGCATTTCACACTTCAATTTGCTATAATGAAAAATACCTTATCTTGGAACCTAATAATTTCAATTTGATTCCAAGATAAAATTTGAAAAATTCAGGGTGTATAATTATTTTTTGTTTGGTTTGAAATCTTAACGTATTTTATTGTATTTTTAGGACAGAATACATGTTTAACTTCAACAAACGGTTCCAAATACATGATGACATTGATATTTTAAAAAGAATGGGTTTGCTATTTGGTAAGTACAAAATTGTACAGAGGTCCAGATTAATTCTAATCTTTATTTTATTGTATATTTAACATTAGTATTTTTATACCTCAGGTTTAGATAAAGGTGAATGTTCAGAAGAAGACATAGAGAGAGCGAAAAGTATGGTTCCAAAATCTTTAAAAACATATGTGGAACGTAAGTATTCATTTATTGTTGCTACATCAATTCTGTATTAATAATTATAAAATTACTACCGGTCGCCCGCGGCTCCGCCTTCTTGGATGTCGTTGTTACACTAATTTTCTCTACGTACAAACCTTCTCTGGACCTACATGAATAATTCAAGACCAAAAGTAGCCAAATCAATAAAGGCATTGTTGAGTTATATCATTACACCGAAAAGTGGCATTAGTTTTTATATTCATCTATGATTTACCTCAAAATCGTATTTTATGACATTTACACTGTAAACTTTGCTCAATTCACAATTTAGTAATTGTATCTCCTCTCTTGGTCAGAAATGGGCAGAGGAGTAATTACAAAATTGTCCACAATGCTGGAAGACGGTGACCTCGACGACGAAGGTGGCGAAGAAGACGATGCGATTGAAGGAGAGGCGGAAGGAGAGGAGGAACAAGAAGAAGCGGAGGGTAATGAATACAGCGACGACAGCAGCGATGTTGACGTGTAGCGGGCCATGCGTCGTAAACGCCATGCTGCACCTTAATAACTATTTTGTTTATATTAACTAGGTGTTACTGTTGCATGTGGGCTAAGTTTATGTAAAATGCCACACAGTTCAAACATTATATTAGCTTAAAACATATTTTGACACAATGTAATAATTTAATATTATATTTAAAACAATTCCAATAATGCAAATTCGATTTATATAGTATATTTTTTCGTTATTCTTTGATTGCTGTATAATCACTTAACACTATTTGTGTACTTTAGATCTATTCATATATCGAAAACAGTATTAGATGATGATTAGGAATTCTGGGATATGAAACTTAATTTCTCTTTTCAGTTTTTCTAGTCTCAATTTGTGTATGATCTCGAGTGCATCAAAAATGTACATCTAAACACTTGTTTTTGTAAAAATGTTTTTATTAAAGAAAATGTATACGTGCATTGGGCATGTGTCTGTGTATTTTCACTCTTTTATCAGATTGACGACTTTTGTTCATTAATTATAATAGTGGATGGTCTGTGTATGTGAAACCAATTATAGTGAAGAGATATGGACAACAATTGTTCTGTTATTTCTAAGAGATTTTTATTTAAAATGGAATTGTTTTAATGATAAGTGAAATAAATGTCAATAAAAATATAAATGTTTTATTTTATTTTATCTTTAATCTTACAATAAATTTAATAGCTATTTTAGGGATGTCTTTTACTTCAAATCATCATCATCAAACAAGTCTTCAAAATCTGAAAAGATAAATTAGTTTTTTGTTAGGTACAAATAGCATAGTTCACTGCAGTAAAATGAGGTGAGGGATGTCTTTTACTTCAAATCATCATCATCAAACAAGTCTTCAAAATCTGAAAAGATAAATTAGTTTTTTGTTAGGTACAAATAGCATAGTTCACTGCAGTAAAATGAGGTGAATAGATACTAGGAAAATTCACCAACATCTAATTGTCCTTCAATTTTTCAAAACCCTGTTGTGTGGGATGTAGCTGATAGCTTCTACAAAAAAGAAATATGACCACTTATTCCAGAGAGAGATTACACATTAAACAAAAAGGGCAGTACATTTGTTTACTTAAAGTAACTAAATAATTCCCATATATTTTTGTGACATTTTGCAGACATAATATAACTTTCTATTCAATTCTATGTAATCCTGTGAAAAAGAGGAAGACAATGACAAAGATCTCAATTACTCTTTCGACTTCATGAGACCTAGATAGGTATATTTGTTATTACTTCATTAATATATTTAAGACTAACCATTAAAAAAATCTGAATGCACTGCCTTTTCGTTCGCTGCTAGGTCCATGAGTAGATTTGAGGGCCCTCCAGCCTGTTAAAAAAAAGTTTGTTGAATACTAATGTAAATAATTGTTAAATGGACGAGCTAATACAATTCATAGTCATACTATCGATTGAAATAAAAAACACCGTACAATGCAAGCTTACTTCTTCTAAATCCATGTAAGGACCAACACCTTCTGGAAACATTTCATCAGCTGCTACCGTTGGTTTCATTGTGATTTGTTTTTGTAAGATGTTGTATTAGTTTTTTCAAGATAACAATAGAAATGATAATTATCAACACTACTTCAACGATCATACAATGAAATGAATGTAAATTAATGTAAAATACCGTCACAAGTCTTGTCAATGTCAAACAAGGTTTAATAATATGACATTTTTGACAATTATAGTCTAGTGATACAAGAACAAAATTTTGTCTAAGTAGTAGTATATGTACTGCCGAAGCAAGTACCAAAATTTTGTCTATAAATATATTTTTGCCAAGCTTAAAAATATAATATTCTTACATTGTTCATCAAACATTATTTATATTAATATTGTCTATTATCATTTAGTTAAGTATTTATAATTATGGGCTTCGGCTTTGATTTTTTGTGACCACATTGGCAAGTGCCGCCAAAACAATAATTAATATAAATCCGCTAGGCAGCTTGTGGCGAGCTGGTGGACAGTGGCGACCCCACGGACCTGACTCCTGGGAAGTGTCTTGTTCTTCATCTCCGGTTAGTCCTCGTGACGAGCTGGAGTGAAAACTGATGAAGAACAAACCCTCCTACCTCATTCTTGCCTTAATTGACTGGCTTGAGTGGAGATTCGCAAGAGTAGAAGTTGAAGGAGTCTCGGGGGAAGGATGTATCTCAATAAGGTGCTGGTAGGGGTCTTGACCGTACTTCCGGGATTGCTCTGATAGCCGTGGTATGCCTATCCTTTTCCAAGCGCAGCTCAACGTATGTTGCCTCCGTGTCGCTACATGCTAGCAGGCGGCCGTTTCCGGGGCCCATTAATTGAGTTTGCCAGTCACCCCCTGCTTGTTTATCCGTATGTATTAATATTGTTCAGGGGCCATAGTATTTTCATAGTTATCATATCCACCAGTCCATAGCAACCCATACCCATAACCATTTCAATTATTAACACAATTCGCAATAGTCCTGCATCAACCGGGGATTATCCTTGGATGCACTTTCATATTGTCACATTTTACTTAAATTGAAGTTGTTCAACGGGCCTCTGCGAGTTGGCTTCGGCCCCTCGTACGCCTTCCAAAGGTCCGGGATCCTGTGATCCCGCGAACGGAAACAAAAATATAATACATATTAAACCATTGACATCATCACTAACATTATCTGGGTACGTATTTTTAAGTTAGTTTTTGATTATAATCCTTGGCACCAAGTTAGCTTTTATCCACGGCCACGGTACCCGAATTATTTTTGTTTTTTTCGGTACCAAGTCTTTTGATATTTTGATTTTAATATTTAATCAATATACAATAACAATACTAAATCATTGCTTTGATCCGATTTCGACTTGAATATTGGACAGTGTATGGGAAACTTTATACTTTGACATGTGTGCTGTGGATTCGGTTGTTATCATTGTTTGTTATCATTTTGACGTTGACAATGTTCACCCGCATGTTTCGCAAATATTTATATCAGTTAATTGACAGTGGATAGTGTTAAACTTGCTGACTCTCCTTTTTATCGTGTTCAATGTAAAACTGTTTTATAAATAAACAATTAACAATGCCATCTTACGAAAATAAAATTATTTTGGCGCCAATGGTTCGCATCGGGACATTACCCATGCGACTTCTGGCCCTTCGATATGGTGCTGATTTAGTTTATACTGAAGAACTAATCGATTGGAAGTTTTTAAGATCAAAACGTAGATATAATGGTTAGTAAAAATTCAGAGTGTGGTACTATGTCGTAAATGAATGACATGAAAGTACAAAATTTGTTATGTGTATTAGATAACCTCTACAGTTCTACCTGCACAATATCAGTGCCTATGTAATGACTGAAGTACTTACTAGCGAAGTGGCCGGACAACCGGCTGCTGCGTAATGTATTACTGGTTCGATTCTTGCACAGAACACATCTGTGATTCTGAAATTGTAGTTTGCGTCATATGCATGGGAATTGGTATGTTTGTCGTCATATCAAATCTTAAATTTAAATTTAATATAATGATATATTTTCAGATATTTTAAACACTGTAGACTATGTTGATCAGACAGATGGTACAATAGTTTTTAGAACTTGTAATGAAGAAAAGGACAAAGTAATACTGCAGTTAGGAACATGTAGTGCAGAAAGAGCTTTAAAAGTTGCAAAACTAGTGTAAGTAAATAAAAAAAAAAAAACAAAAATATGTAGCTCCATAGCATTGAACAGATATAATGTTTTTTATTTTTCTGTTTTTAGAGAAAAAGATGTAGCAGCTATAGATATAAATATGGGATGCCCAAAAGAATTTTCTATCAAAGGAGGCATGGGTGTTGCTTTATTGGCCCAGCCAGAGAAAGCATACAATATATTGAAAACATTGGTAGATAATTTATCTGTATCAGTTACTTGCAAAATAAGGATATTGCAAACACCAGAAGAGACATTGGAGGTTGTAGAGAAACTGGTGAGTTCAGGAATTAAAGCAATTGGAATTCATGGCAGGACGAGGGATGAACGTCCACAACATGCAGTTCACACAGATGTAATAAAGTATGTTGCAGAAAGAATTTCTGTACCAGTTATAGCAAAGTATGTCCTAAGAGTATGCTTGAATAAATGGCTATTTATGACTATTTCAAATTTGACATTTATTTCTAACTCCTACATTTACAATTTCAGTGGAGGTTCTAAGGAGATTGAAAAGCATTCTGATATTTATAAATTCAAAGAAATGACTGGATGTTCCAGTGTGATGATTGCAAGAGCAGCAGAATGGAACTGTTCCATTTTCAGGAAAGAAGGCTTGCTCCCAATGGACACTGTCATTGAAGAGTACCTTAAACTTGCTGTTGAGTATGATAATTCACCATCCAACACAAAGTATTGTATACAAAATATTTTAAGAGATTTGCAAGATACACCCAGAGGGAGACAATTTCTAGATTGTCAAACACTAGAACAAATATGGTGCGTAACAATTATTTACATTCACCATTTTGTAATGTTATGGTCATAGTAATAATATATTCTTCCTTTTAGTTCCATTTGGGGCTTAGGGGAGTTTTGTAGAGAAACACAGGTCAGCTACCAGAAGAGGGGAATACAAGGAAGATGGCAAGTCACTCCAGATGATTTAGAGCCTCCTCAAAAGAAAATAAAAGCACTTGACATAGATCTAACAGATGTCATTCAAATGAAAGTAAGTGTTTAGCTACTTTTTTTCTTATTTTAATTGAAAATGATAATAATTAATTAATCTGCTTATTTTCAGATAAGTTTTATTAGAGCTAATTTTAATGACCAAACTTTACCAAAATTCAAACTCCATTCATGGGCTGGTAAAAATGGTCTTAAATTGCCAACTTATGAAACACAACAAGTTGAAAAATTGTTTCGTACAATAATTACCTTCAATGGCAAAAAATACACATCTTCTTTTTGGGAGAAAAACAAGAAATATTCTGAGCAAGGTGCAGCCTTAGTCTGCATATTTCATTTGGGATTAGTAACAGAAGAAGATTTAATTAAACTTGGCAGTATAATAAAATAATGTTTATTACTCATAGATTTTTGCTTTATTCCCATAGTTTATAACCTTTTCTTTAATAAATTATAAAAGTATGCCTTATTTATATAATTAGCAATAACAATAAATTGTGAAATGTGTTTGCAAATAAAAATTACATTTGTTTTCTCAAACTTGTGATATTGTCAACTAACTTTTGGTTTAATTCATCTAACTTTGAATTTAATCCATCTTGCCTCATTACATCTTCTTGCAGCTGCTTAAAATTTTTATAACTACAATATGCATTGTGTAAACTTTCATTTCCTTCCACTAATTTAATGGGATGGTCCCTCGCCTGGACAATTTCATCATCAAATATATCTTCTAACACTTGTTGAGTAGTAGGAATATTAGGTACAGTATACTTCTCCATGATCTTGAAAAAATCGATCTAATTTTATTCTATTTGAACCCGATGTCGCAAAGGGCTGCGTCAATAATCTGAAAAAACCTGTGCTTTAATACCTTTAAATTATGCACACAATATAAGTCATTACATGTGACTGTTTAATTTATGTCCTTTAAGTTTTTAATTATATTTATTTTTACCTTTAAGTACCGCTTAGGACCTACACAATCCTTATAAACTAAAAACAATACGTATTGTGGATCTAAGAATATTCTCAAAACATCACGTTTGACATTTACATTGACGTGACAGTGACACTTGACAGCTGAACGGATTGCAATAGTGCTTGACAATAGTATTTAAGAACCATGTACGGTTTTTATTAGTCAGTCGATTATGCATTAGTTCGATTTGTCCTCTACGATATACTAATTGATAATGGTGTGCATTCATTTATGTAGCACACGCACTGCTTATTAATATGTTAGAAGAAGCAAAATCATCGGAAATATGAATGACGTATGAAACAAAACGCAGTTTCCAAATCCAACGTATAGATGGCATCGTGGTTGTTATATGATTTTTCATCCAAGATATTATATAGACAACTTGTTGTCTATAAGATCTTTGTTTTTCATCGAGCTGTGTTGGCTGCTACTAGCAGTCTGCTAGTAAGAAGGGGTTTAACCGAATCTATTTGCATGGCAAATGGAACCCACCTACATACCTAGAGCTCGTAAAAATATCGAATTCCGATTAAGAAAAAATAAAGGTGATTGGGAGACTTAGTGCCGTTTCGGGTATTCTTTTTTAATCGACTTCCAAAAAGGAGGATGGTTCTCAATTCGACCCTATATATGATTTTTTTATGTTTGTTCGCCGATATCTTTTGCAAAATGTTCTTTGTCCTAATATACTTTGGAATAATTTTAGCATAACGTTAGTACCTATGCCTACAGACTATTAACATTTGAAGGCCTAAAGACCATAAGCATTAAGTTAGTAAATAATATTGTTTGTTAAAAAATTAATATGCTGACAAAACTTAGTGACAGAACCGATTTCTTTAAAATCGACTCCACGTAGTCCTGTTTGTCCTACCTCTCTATAGTGATAAAGGCGTAGACGCATAGGGGTGAGACAACCCGCGGGCTGAGGAGCAGGCGGCTGCGAGCGAGCCGCTGCGCCGTGGCTGAGCCTGGCCGGTGAAGCCGAAGCTGTGGCGGTGAGCGAAAGCCGTCTACGACGATCAGCGCGCGTGGGGTCGTTACAGAAACTCTGCCTGCAGTTACAAATTATAACTAGTAAAAAAATATGCGTAATTATATTATGCGAAAATAATGCTAAACCTTATGCTAAGTTTTAAAATTTTATGCAAGTAGATAGCGAACCGCCGCTTTAAGGGCCGAAACACATAACGCAAACTGCTTATTTTTGCGGCGCCGCAACGCCAAAATCGGCAGTTGCGTTGCCGCGTTGCGGCGTCGCGAAACAGGGCATTATGGTAGGGCAACCATTTTCTCGTGATTTTTGAGTGTGGATAGACGTCTCTCTGCGATGGATCGTAATAAACTTATTGCTTATTTGTTATTAAGAAGACATTATTCTATCTTAAAAATACGGCAAAGAAGATACTGGATACATCCACAAATGCTTTTCCATGCTTCTTGTTTTATAAATTTGTCTTTATAGGTTTCGTCACTAGTATCCCACAAACAACGGTGTTCCTGAACCGATGATATAAACAGATCGACGTCAACGTCAGACATTTTAATTTTAAAACTGCTTCTCGGTTGACACGTCTTGTTTGCAAGAGTGTTAGAAACAAACTGCATCCTTGTCAACCAGTATGACGTCATAACGCTGGAATTCACGTCGTGCGTTGCGGCGCCGCACCGCTATAGCGCACTGCCGATTTCAGCGGCGCGGCGCCGCAACGCGCTTATGTGTTTCGGCCCTAATGCACGGAGTATACACATAAATGTAAATATGTTTCATTTTCTTTGAAAATTTGATCGGGAAATACATTTACTTACCAAGTTTCAACAGTAGGTGACAATATTCCTTATAGTTTCGGAAAAAATGTTTGTACCATACGGACAGATAGACATGATATCTAGGTCTGCTTCTGTTCTTTGCCGTTTGAACCCTAAAAATCGGTCTTAATTTCGATATATTGGATTAAGATTACGGGTACTGATTATTCGGCCGCTATCCCCTAAACAAACTCGATTATAAATAAAAATAATATTAAAATGATCTTTGGAAGATGTAAATTGTAATCGTAAACCATTTGTTGGTCTAATAGTAGGTATCCAACGTTGGGATCTGATACTACTCAATATGCCCGAGCAGCGCAAGAGTCGTCATTAGCTCCGTGGTAGCGTGATATTTTAAAGTCTTTAGTACCTACCTAGTTCTTAAAAAGGGACAGTCCAACACAAAATGATTGTCAATTAGAACAGGTAGTACAAACAAATAAACTCTTTATATTTTAGTTTATAATATAAATAAATGGTAGGCACGTTTATCAACTAACTAACATAAAATATTTACGTACCAAATAAAACCAGTTATTATTAACTTTGAATATGGAAAAATAATGCGCTGTTGCTTCTTATCTCACTGAGCTACATATTTTTTTTATAATCTACCTCCTTAAATTAAATAGTATGTAAAACTAAGTATATTACCTAAAAACATTATAAGACTAACGTTTTGAAAATTTTCTCCCTGTGTTCAATTCAGTAAAAAATACCAGCTCTCGTCCACTGTAGTTATTTAGATGGATAGTTTGCGGTTTCCTGTGGTAACCGCGACTGGATCGACCTCGATTTCATGAGCTTATGTTACGCTCATTTGCTATAAAAATAAAACACGTGGACGTTAGTTGCAACAAGACAAAATATTTTACTAGGTTGGATAAAAATCTTATGTATCGGTAGGGAGTATAAGTAGACAGTCTATATATAGGTACAAATAGTAGAACTATGTCAGATATCTATTTATAATATCGAAGAAGAATAACATTAGTCTATAGCCTAAGTAAATCTTCAGAAAAACATAACAATTTTACAGAAACATTTCGCCCTTAAATAGAATAGGTACCCTAAGTGTATACAAAAGTTTAGAAGATTGAGCTTTTCCAAAAGAAAATATTTCTGATGACTGTAAGGTTAGCGCAGTGGCTAGGTAACTTGCTGCTGTGCAAGTGCAACGTGTCGTGGGTGCGATTTTCACAAATTGTTGTTTCGCATCTGGGTGTTTTGTGTAGTTATGTGATTTTTATGCTTCTAAACATACGACACAGTAGAAAATCTAAGTGTGTAACGTTTCGTATTTACTTACATACTTGTTTTAAAAATATTCTTCGAATTTCGCTAGGTACTTGTAATAATTTTGTAAGCTTAGCTGCTTATCACCATTAATAGTAATGTTATTAGTTTATTATTCTAAATTTGCAGAGAAAATTTTGAAACTACTGCTCCTTGAAATCTCAAGTTACTCCCCACCAACACTTAAAAGGAGAAGGATATCAGGACAATTCCCTGCATGCCGCAATTTAGATCACTTAGGTAATTCGTAAAAAAGTCTTAACAATCTTAGAAACTTGTAGTAAATCTAATAATACTGAATCTAAAATAATCCGAAATTCGCACTCATGAACATATTTATCACGAAAATGAAATGTAAATAATTGATAACACCGAAAAATAAACTACCTACTTAAAGAAGTTGTCTCCTCTGACCTTCCACCTAACGAACGATGGAACATAAACGGCATATAATTTTTATATTCCAATCAAGTATATATTACAAGGTGAGTGATAGCCAAGAGACTTGATATCATACGACCACAACACGTGTGGTCTCCGATCTATCAAATAGTATCGTTTCGACGTTAACCGACAGGCATCGGATTACATTCTGCTCGAATAATCGTGAAACGCTTCTGTGATTGTTGAATACTAATTTACAAAACGTTTTATCTTGTTAGTATAATTACAGCTTAAAGTACATATTTTTAATAAGTGTCTTTGTAATCAAGCTTTAAGAACCAGATAGATTCATAACTACTAGACGATCAGTTATTTTGTTTTGAGCCTGAGTAATTCCGAGAGAAACAGATTATGCTACAAAAATCAGGATTATCGCTATATATATTTTTATTATGTTTCATGTTTTAGTAAACAAGATACATTATAAACCGATTGTAAATGAAATCGATCTACAAAATGTTTATACTCTTTTTTCAAAGATCACAATAATTGTGATTACTTATTTTTCTGTTTGATATATATTTTCACTCTTGATAGAAATCTAACAATATACTTACACATAAACATCATCGTGAAAATAGTTTTCCCTTTATAACATCTTATGACCTTCGTCAGAACCTCTGTTTTCTAAAAATTGAGACAAGCATATAGTATCAATGTGAATATCTAAATCTAATAAATAAGAATCGAACAATCTTGATTCAAGCAAAACGAAACCAGGTTTTCTAGAATAACAATTAAGATAATGTTTAGTAACTTATGAAGAACTAGAGTTGAAGTTGAAGAGTGTACCAATGCATTGCTGGCCTTTAAGGGATTAAGGTTTCGTAGATTTAGGGATTGTAAAGGAATAGGGGGTGTGGAAGGCTAGGGCCTCAGGAACCTCACAGCCCACTCCCTCACACATCGTGAAACAACGTTTTTGTTGTCTACGCTGGTTTTCTGTGAGGTCGTGGAATCACTCCGATTCGGTTCGATTTGTGCCGAATGTATACTTAGTTCGTAGCGCGTAGCGACATTTTTCCGTATCGATCTCATGAACTAGGCGGACAAGTTGCATAGACTAGCTTGGTGTGCTCAATAGATCGAGGCAGTATTTCACCCTGGGGCATCGCCTGCTACTTTACAAGGCGCAGGTTCGGCCCCATACGGGATATCTACTGTTCTCATCTTTGGGCGGGGGCACCCAGTAGTAGAAGTACCAGCTTCTCCCTCTGGACCGCATTCAACGACGAGCTGTTCGAATCGTTGACTGCCCTGTTGTCTCGGACCGGCTGGACTCTTTGGCACTGCGTAGGGATGTAGCCTCGCTAT